CATATACATACTGTATACACACAACCATCATTTCCTCCTTCATTTTCACATGAGAACCTACCAAAAATCGATGTAAATTTGGATCTTTAGGCACTTTATTACCAGCAGCCCCTTCTTACATGCATTTTGTTCTAATAAAAATAACAAAGATTCCGCATTTTGAATCCTAAAATTGTATTTCGGCACCAACAAGTTTCGTTGAGAGCTGTGAGCTGAAAACAACTGAAGGGTAGCATCTTTATTGTTATGTTTCAGGTCAGATTTACAAATTAACTTAGTCATTTTTGAGGCATTGATATCTCAAAAACATTAAATTTTAAGATAGATTACATAAATAAATTGACAAGCATTTTCATATTTGAAGGTTTCAGAGATTCACATCTGAGCTGTGTTATGAGTGGAGCAGCTTCAGTCGTTAAACTCTCCTTGATGATCATTTCATTGTTGGGTTTCAGGAGCACGGCGGTGGCTGTYGAGTCCTCAGGGATGCCCACCGTACCCAACAACCTGCGATCCCAAACTCCAGATAAATCCCCCAATCCCAGCAACAACCGGAGGGTCAGGGTCAGCGATGGCACACACACTCAAAAACAGATTGAAACTGCAGCATCCTGAGATAAAATGTAGAGTTTTAACAGCTTGGATGTGTTTGAACGCAGCCCGACGGAGCAGAAAGCGTTGCCAGTTTACCCTCCAGTGAAYGTGTGCCTGAGAAGAAGGCAGCTGGTCACCAGAGGACAAACTCTGACGCTCCGATCATCTCCGTGTCCCAAGCTTCTGTCTCCTCAGGTAACGAGAAAACATCTGCAGCTGAACTGTTGGGTCTTGTTCTTGCCCCTCCACAGCCCACTCACACACAAACATTTTGACAACTGAATCACAGTTTCAAGATGTGTCAGAAGCAGCAGATCACATCAGACCATCTAACCTCCCCGCAGAGGAGAAACGCCACTCAGTGCATGCAGAATCTTACAAAGGATAAAATCTGTTCCTCCGTCGGGAGCCGATGTCACGTCTGCACAAATTACACAATTAACTTCACCTCTGTCATCCTTRACTGCTGCTTCTTTTAAGTCTAATCCACTTCACTTTGCCTAAACCCAAACCTTTTATCCCAGCTTTTACTGCAGCTCACAAGTGTGTAGAGATTTTTAAAATGACTCAGATTAGAGGCAGTTGTTGCTAAAAAAAAACTCACAGACTGATTTTAGGCTGTTTGTTAAAGATGTGTCTCATTTTGTTAAAGGCTGACAGTTTAATTTTAAGACGCTTGATGCTTTTGTGGGATTTTATTTATCAAGCATGTAACGAGTCAAGATTTTGTCCCCATTTTCAGATTTAAACACTGTTAGTAAAATGTAGTTTTGGACAAAACCTATTAGTTTTTTCTTGCTGYAAGGTTTATTTTTGTTACATGTTAGACTATTTTTTTACGTAGTTCAATTTTTTTAATACGTCAATTAATGAGTCAGTATTTTAAGGGGAAACCTTGAAGTTTCATATTCATTTCACTACGATGATCAACAATATTTATTCAGACTCTGAAGTGCATTAGTTAAATTCATATATACATATTTACTTCACAAACTCTCCTTTAAAGGCACAGTGTGTAGGATTTGTTGTTTTCAGCGACATCTAGTGGTTGAGTGGTTGAATCATCCTCCCTGGTCCTCCCCCCACCC